TGTCTGATGGTGCTATGTTAGTATTTGCTAGTTAGTTGTCTGATGGTGCTAGGTTAGTTGTCTGATTCTGCTAGTTTAGTTGGCTGATGGTGCTAGGTTAGTTGTTTGTAGTTGCAACTACATGATGTAAATTTGCAGAGTCACATGGCAAAACTTTGAAAGGCCATCACTTTGCGTAGAAAGCTCCGTTTTGGACGATTTTTTTTTTTTTTGTTTTTTTGATTTGGGGTAGCTCGACGAGATCTACGCAGTTGCAAACTGCCGAAGGCGGTTTGGCCGCCCAAATTGTCAAAAAAACGTCTTTTTCTTGCTTTAATTTCATTTTTAAGAAAAAAATACGTTTTTGTATTTTTAAACCTCTATATCTCCCCAATCGAGACTCATTTTTCGAAGTTTTTTTTCATAACAATGCTCTCAACCTCTATTTTATGTACCAATTGAAAAAAATTAGAAAATACATAGTCTCTGCAGTTGCTAGGTTAGTTGTCTGATGCTGCTAGGTTAGTTGTCTAATTGTGCTAGGTTAGTTGTTTGATTGTGCTAGGTTATTATCTGCATTTTAAGAGCTGGCCTCATTTGATCTGCTCATATATATATATATATATATATATATATATCATTATATATATTAGAAACTTTTTCCCGCCATAATCATTAAATATATACCAATGTGTTAATTGTTTTAAAATTCTGAATAGGCAATGAAATCGGCTCCTTAAATGTCTAAATATTTGTTTTTCTTTTTCCTGAATTTTAGGTTATCAAAAGCGTTGTTTTAGAGTCAACATTTGTTTTTGTTTTTCCTATTTTTTAGGTTATCATAGGCAGAAAAAAATGAAACATTTAAATATAATTTAAACAAAATGAAAATTGTATAGATATGCACATGTACTGTTGGTTACATCTAAACTTCCTATTATAAAAGAATTTGTTCATTTCCAAATTCAACATCATCTATTAATAACTACAAAAGACTTTTCAGATTGAATTTTTCAAAAACGCTTTGAAATCTATTTAAATGTCTCAGATTTGATCCATAAGTCGAAAAATGAATATAGATTTGTCACCAATATTAATCAATTTCGCAAAAAATGACAAATTATAAACCAAAACAAGCAAAAATGTACGAAACTTGAAGAAAAGTCAAGAAATTGGAGGCCGATCTATATTTCTTTTTTTATCATTTTTTGAAATAAGACTATCGATTCACATTATTTGTGAACAACCATGCCGATTCGAGTATATCTTGAAATTATAAAGTCAAAACAACTGTCGATTCATAATTTTTTTTGAACAACGATCCCGAATACAAAAGGTTCAAAATAAATTAAAAAATGAACGAGCTCAGTTTATATTTTCCAAATCTCTTTAGACATACATACTAATCAGTTCATATTCGACTGAGGTAGTCATAAAAATCTACTAACTTGAGTTCATAACGCTAAAAAACTAATTAAAAAAAAATATAAACGAAAGATCTCAGATTAATTTTTTCGAATCTTGTCTCCAAAAATATGGGTCAGGTCATATTCGACTGAGATTCTCATAACAAGAGCTCAGTACGTTGATAATTAAAACAAGAAAAAATTGTAAACAAAAAATTAAAAATGAAAAAAAAAAATCAGACAAGAGTCA